TGGCGGGGGGTATGTTGGGGAGGTGCCACGAACGGAGGTTTTCAAAAACTCTCGGAAGAACGATGGCATAATACACCCAGTGTTAAAAAGAGATGTAAGCAGGTGGGAAGTCGTATGTGGGGTTGAAACGATTCTCTTCGGTGTAAGACAATTATAATAAAGAAAAGAAAATGAGCATAATGCTACCAGCAGAAAATCCGGTGCGTTTTTTCTGGAGGAATTAAGTAAAGAAACTATAAACCTGGTGCTGTCGGTCGCTGCCCTGTAACTTGAGGTGGTCGCGGAGGGTCTCTGGCACCACGGCGAGGCAGGGAACATGGCGGAAAGGCCAGGAGCAGCGGGGAGGAGAGGAGCCGGACGAGGGGCCCGGGCTGCCTCCTCAGCCTCACCCACGGCTCCAGCAGCCAGGGCCACCCCGGGCACAGTGTGGGCCACCGTGGCCAGTTTCACCCCAGGCTGTAACATCGGTCCCTTCTTGGGGCCCACAACGTCGCTGTGCACACAACGGACCATCCTTGATCTTTTAGAAAAAATGTTAATACTGAATGCAAAATTACATACAGAAAAAAATTTAATCTGTATGGGTAAACCCAGTGCTGGGATGCGAGGGAAAGCTTGCTAGAGCCATAACTGTGCCGTCTTGTGCGTATGCTTTAATTACATGATTGCATACAATTTTGCCCCAAAGGACCTCTCATTTAGCGCACAGTTGTGTCGTTGCTCAGAGACACAGAGTTTCCTAACCTTTGAGTTCTTGCTTCTGCAGTTGGAATAAAAGCACGTCTTTGTAATTTTTAAGTCCAGAATGAAACATCGGATAATCTGTAGTGATCCTTTGCACATGACAGGCTGCTACACTTTCATCCCATCGCGAGGGTAATTGGTTCTCTACAAGTCGCTCTGGAGCATGTGAAACACCCCGGGTCAGGCAGTTGATGGTTCGAGAGTTCGCAGCCAGAGTCAGAGACACTGACTCCCTTCCTCCGTCTCTGTTCTTCCTCTGGAGTTCACTCAACATCGTTTTTATTAAAGGCTCGTTATAATCTTGAGTTCTGACTCAGACCTCATCCTTAACACCAGAGGCGCGTCTCCTGCATCAGCCCCAGAGTTTGTGTTTGGTCAGACAGGGGTAGGATCAGAGCATGAAATGCCGTGGAAGTTGATGTGTTTAACTCTGTCAAGTCTGGCGCTAGAGCTGCGCTCAGGAAGCGCAACTGTGAATGGGAGAGAGCATATGAATTTTAGAGGAGATTTCTTTTCTGCGAAGCAGCATAAGCAAGTGGAAGAGGAAAAGCTCTGGCCCCTCCGGCTGCAGAGGGACTTTGCCACCAGGCCTGGTCGCTTAATATATTCTGCCGCTTAGTCTCTAATTGTGCTGATTTCTTCTATCAGCTCAAGCAACTACTGAGTCATGTAATATAGTACCTGTAATTCCTGTGACACCTTCCCTTTTCTCACAAAATATACCTACAGGGTATATATAATTCGTGCTTCAGTGATCCTCCACTGAAGTACACTGACCTCGGGAAATTTAAATACTTGTTTTTTCCACGCCACAGCTCCTGTCTTTCACTGCCATCTAGTGTTCACGCATGGAAGAGATGCTGTAACGGAATTTCTCATCAAATCGATTTGCCGTAGTTAACACATTTTGGAAATTGATAGATGGCACTGATAGGATGTATCTTTGTAAACTAATAAAATATTTCTCTATATAAAATCTAGAGATATATCTATTCATATTTTTATTTTATGGCATTAAATTCTGACACAGATCTCTTACATTATTTAAAATCAATAGCCCTCACAAATCAAACAGATATATATCAGTTATTTACTTCTGGTTATGCTGTTCTCTGTAATTAATTAGATTGCTTCAGAAAATAGTGGACACCCAAAAAAAAATAAAAAGTACGGAAATAATCTATCACCCTGCTTCATTTTCAGCTCTCCCGAAAAGAGGTAGGCATTGAGATCAGAGCCCAATCAAAATTTTACTTGCAAACTAAAATTGCAAAGCTTGGAGTGACAGATCTTTCAATCCGTCTACACAAAGGAGTGAGATGGTTTTTGAAATGAGGAGGAGACAAAAAATGAGGGATTATCCAGAAATCATCTGTCTTCAGTTTCTTATCTTTTCTCCCTTGATGTCTGTCTTTACAGTGACATCTTATTCTCATCCCCAGTCCATGATCAGCAGTTAAACAGTTCATAACCGTTGAAACACCCTTGTCTGTCTTCTACTATTAACGCATAAACTTACTTAAGAGACAAACTTGAGTGACTTACTAAAATCTCCCCATATTTTTAGGTAAAAAGTGGTTAGCAGCCAGTACCGATAATTCCCCCTTGAAGATCTCAGATTCTAAGTTAAGATAGAAATCCTGAGTAGCCAATACAATAAAAGGAACATGAATACAAAATTTCATATGATCGTTTTGTGCATACTCAGATCCTTATATATATTTTTAACAAACCTTACCCTCCCTACCTGGTCATGAAAGAACTGGGAAGTCATTATTCTCTGAATTAGTCCAGCTAGAAAGGAAACAAAGCAAGGTGCTCGGCTGCTTTCATTCCAGTGAAAATGTAATTTAATTAGAGCAATTCCAGATCACACTTCTGGCAGCTGTGTTTATCAGACTTGCTTCAAAGGATAGGAATTAGCATTGACTGACATTAGCATCAAAGCTCATTTATTCACCCGCCCACATCCTACCAGCCCTTCTGAGTCTGTCTGTTTATTTAGCACTTTAATAACACCACAGTAAATAAGATTTCATTTCGGAGCGTGCATGGCTTTTGTCAAAGCATTTAGTGTAGACTTCTTACAATGTCACAGGAGAACCCCTCTTTGCAGGTTTGATGAAAGGTTTGATGATGAGCTCGCTGTTCTCCAGAAGAGGTATTTTAAATGCTTAACAAGGACATAGACTGGGATCCAGTATTACTTTTTTGTTCTTTTTTGTCAACAACTAGAAAATATCTGTCTTTCAGCAGGGGGGAGAAGTGCCAGAAATGACCTGTCATGCCTTAAGCTGCAGAAGACCGCCCGAGTCCAAAGCCAGTTTGGTCACAAGGGGCTTGAACTTTGGGGTTTGGCGAGGCCGTGCCCTACCAAAGACTCAGCTCTCTCCTTCCGAGCTCACATGGAGGCATGAGCACTGCCCTTTCACTCGCAGCATACAACCTGCTATCATCTCTTCTGAACTAAAGGTAGGTTCTTGCTGGTAAAGACCATCTTCTATTTCATATTTGTGCAGCACCTGGCAAAAACAGGGCTGGATCCCCAATTAGAACTGCTGAAGCATGGGAATTGGATGGGTGGATCATAGCTCAGCTGCCTCTTTTGGAGACGCATCTAGAACTGCTGCCACGTCAGACCAGAGACATCAGCAACAGGAATCTGCTGCTTGTCCTGCAACCTCAAGCCCTGGGGTGACAGAGAGAAGCAGTTAGGCTGGGGCCCCATGGGCTTGTTCGTCAATTATCAGTGGTAGTTTGCATGTAGTCATGATTGCTCTTGGATGACAAAAGATGAGAAAATGATGCTGCAGAAAGAGAAAAAGTTCCTTTCAGTTACCTTCCAAAAAGAGGTAAAGCAAACAAACAACTCCATTTGATTTTTCAACAAGTGGAACCCAATTGAGCTGATGGAGCAGGTTCACAGCAGGCCTGTGAATCACAGAAAGATTCCCTCCAGATCTCACCCTTTATGCCCAACTTGCCAACACAGATATCATCAGGTACAAACTAGAAGCAGCAAAGAGAGGCAACCTGCCAAAACCCCAGTAGGGGTGAAATGGAGCCTCCTGTGTATCTTACCAGACAGAATTGGCTGATCTCAAGCCTTCTCTGTTGTCCTTTGCTTATTTATGAAATCAGGAGAAAGCCAGTAAGAGCAGCAAAGCAAGCAAAGGGACGGTGGGGGCATTTTCTGCCTTGCAGTGAAACGTTAAAACTGATGATGGAAATGGTTGTTCCTTCCCAAAGGTTTATTGTGCTACATGCAGAACAGTAGCCTCCTCGAGACAGTGTTATTGGCATTGGCACTAGCTGAAAGAAAAAAATCAGAGCCCTCACTTAAAGACATAATTCAGAATGTGAACAAGGAATGGCATAGCTGTAAGTTGTCTCTCCAGTGGGCTATGATTCTGAAGGGAAGTCAAATTTAAAAAAAACCAAAACAAAACCAAAACAACAAAGAAAACAGATGAGAGAATGACTAACGGGAATAAATTCCACTGCTTTGACCACAGCATTACATTATCAAATCCCGGGACTTAATATGCAACAGAATTATCATAAAACTGTTCTGTGTAATGGAAATAATCTAAGATTCAATATTTCATCCAGCAGTGCAGACAGGCCTGTAGGACCGTGCCATCTTAGCTGGAACATTTATTGATGCTGACCACTGGTTTATACAGCAGGAGTTGAAAGATGAAGAATTCAACTTTCCAATTGTGAAATTAGGAAGAAACAGAAATGCCAAGGAAACAAGACACTCGACAGCCTGTGAGAAAGTGATGGAAAATTCATGGCTTTCAATCACTTACAGCACTTGTTATGCAGAAATAGGCTGAGCTCCCAGTTTTGCTTGGAGGCTGTGTCACTTCCAATCTTCCCTGTGAGACTCAAGCATGGTTTATAGTGGCCATTTGCATGTAGATGGATGAAACGTCTGCTTTCAGTGACTGCACTTCTGAAACTTGGGTTTCACTAGTTGAGAAAGAAAACAGCTTTTTGGGGGGAATATTGCTCTCGTAAAAAAATCATCATGCTCTAAACTGCTGCCATCAGTTTAACCTTTTATTTTTTTAAAGGAAAGAAGGTTAGCACACACAACAGCACAGCACTGATTTGCATTTTCAACTGACAGCCCAGCGACTGGAGAATTTTGTTTATTCCGTTTAGCCAGCCAGAAACCACACAGGCCCATGCAAAACCAAAGTTTGGACATGCTTTTTCTCAGCTACAATGAAACTGTCAGGGAAAAGCATAATTTAGACATCTCTTCAAAAGTATTGTCCAGAAAACTCGTCTTGCATAGTACTTTCCATAATCCAGTCTTCCAGATATCCTTCTCACTTTCTTCCTGCATATAAGTAATCAAAAATGTGCAATGCAGAGTAGCTTAGGACATTAACTAAGGAGAAGGACATTAACTACGACAAGTATATTCTTCTTTTATTAGCTTGTTTGATCTATAAGGCCAGTTCACCTTCTTACAAATAGTGACCAACATTTTAGTTTGCAAAAAGAATAGGAAACCTGGAAAGCAAGAATTAATAAAACCATGATTAGTAGTGTTCAGCCACTTTGCTGAATATTTTAAAAGGTAAATTTTACATGTTTTCAGTCAGCTACAGATTTTGTTTTTTTTTTTTTTCCTTCTGCTACTCTGATGAACAACAAAAAAAATCTGCAGCTTCCCAGAACAAAAGAGGACTTCACAGGCTGATTTAGGTGTACCAGGATATTGAATTGCACTGTACTGCCCCAAGCAGTAAGCTTTCCATATCCAGAAGTGATCAGCTAACAACAGATCCAAGATCCATGCATCAGAAAATAAGAGTTTCAGTTAAATGGGAACCAGATGACAGAGGCTCCAACTTAAATAAAGTAGTAGATGCCACACAGCCCATGTTCTTCCTCACAAAACTCCTTTTTCTCTTCAATAATTTTGTTGGGTTTTTTCTCTACTGAACATTAAAATCATGCTGCACTGGGCAAAGGGAAGAGATATTTAATGCCATGGCATGCTAATGATTCATGCATAGCCTATAAATTACTTTAATCAGAGATATATTGCAACAGCAACATTCAGTATTTAGTCGTTCAGACACTTTTTGGGTCACATTCTGAAATTTCATTAATATTTGCAAAAGCACTTTGGGAGAAACCCACTGTATCCTTAACTGATCTGTCTTTGTCGTGATTTTGGCTGGGATAGAGTTCATTTTCTTCCTAGTAGCTGGCATAGCACTGCGTTTTGGATCTAGTATGAGAAGAATGTTGATATCACACTGATGTCTTAGTTATTGCTGAGCAGTGCTTACACTAAGTCAAGGACTTTTCAGCTTCCCATGCTCTGCCAGGTGCACAAGAAGCTGGGAGGGGGCACAGCCAGGACAGCTGACCCCAACTGGCCAAAGGGCTATTCCAGACCACATGACGTCATGCTCAGTATAGAAACTGGGGGAAGAAGAAGGAAGGGGGGGGATGTTTGGAGCGATGGTGTTTGTCTTCCCAAGTCACTGTTGCGCGTGATGGAGCCCTGCTTTCCTGGAGGTGGCCAAACACCTGCCTGCCCATGGGAAGCAGCAAATGAATTCCTTGCTTTGCTTGCACGCGCGGCTTTTGCTTTACCTATTAAACTGTCTTTATCTCAACCCACGAGTTTTCTCACTTTTACTCTCCTGATTCTCTCCCCCATCCCACCGCAGAGGAGCGAGTGAGCAGTCGTGTGAGGCTTAGTTGCCGGCTGGGGTTAAACCACGACAGTCTTCAACACCCTGTACCCCAAGGTGGCTTTTTTCATTCCAAGAGTCCCTGTCATTTCTCTCAGGGCTCTCTCCACCATCTCCATGTTCCTGAAGACAAAACAGTAAAACATTCATTAGATAAAAGGCAACTAATTTTGACATCTTCCATTAGGGGCACTTAAAAATGATAGCTGTCCTGGTGCTTCTAGTTACCTTGAGCATAGAGGATCCATCATATATGGCTGACTTACGGCTGTAGCTTATGTGATCAAGTAATTGGCAATACCAGAAGCCACAGAAAATATTTAAAATAAATCTTGAAAAGTAACAATGTGGAAACACCAGCCACAAATCTGCTGTTGTGTTTTAGAAATGGACCAGTTTTGCTTTAGCAGCAAAAAGCTGCAAGAAATCAGTGTTAGAGCAGGACGGGTGAGCTGCAGTCGCCTCTGGCTCATGTTTCAAGCTGGGTCCCAACTGCAAAGCCTCCTCCGCTACCCTTTTGCTCTCAAGTTACTTCCTCCCCTACTCAAGCCTGATAAAACACAATTAAATAAGTTTGTGTATCAAAGGTTCAAATTTAAGACAGTTACAGGGAAATAATAATAGCATTTGATGAATGAGAATCAAATTCAAGTGGAAGATCTTGGAATATGCTACCAGGGCTGAGGCCCCCTTTTAAAACGCAGTTATAACACACCTAATATTAAGAAAGCCACATGTGTAAATCTATCAAATGAGAACCTGAAATACAGACTCAGACAGTTTCAACAACTTTTGGGGTCCCTTCTTTTATAGGCAGTCCTCAACAATGCAAAGTGAGCTTAAAATGATAAAGTTCATAAGCTTCTATTCCCCCATGTTTAAAGAAAATCCTGTCTTTTCTGTAGAATTTTATTGCTAGAAAACCTTGACTTCACCACAATTTTCATCCATCCTTAGTTACAAAATTTCACCTGGTTGATCTCTGCAGTGTTTCTTCAGGAAACACTGGGATATGTCTTTCATCAGCTGAACATCCAGCAGAAAAACCATGATTGCAGCTGTCAATAACCAGTCTCTCAGCATGACAAAGCAGGGCAGGTTATTTTTTTCCTGGCAGGAATTAGTAAAGGATAATTGGAGCTATGTTACATTATTCAGCTGGATTACCCAACAGCCAACAACACTAATAAAAACAGGAGTGTTGCAATAGGGCTACGCACTTCTAGAGACTTTCAGTGGTGACAGAACAACATTTTAGAATTTGTTTTTTGGGAGGGGTTTTGTATCACCCCCATTCCCAAGAGTCCTTTGCAATTAGACAGAATTTTCTAAGGTGCTCCTCTATTGCTTAAGATTTTTCCCTCAGGAGGTACACAATACCCTGACTTTGGCCCCAAAACTGGGGCCAATATTTGTCCCTAAAGCCTAGGCCAACATTGATTTCTGATTCTGCTATCAAAAGTGATACTGAAGTGAACAATCTGGCCACACATCTACTTCACCTTTGCCATTCACCTCCACCTCCTCAGTTTGGGGACTAAAACTCCTAAGGTTGTCTTGACTTTTTGTTTGTTCACTTTCCAATATCATTTACAATCAAAATCCAGCTTAAATGTAGTAACTTCAGAACATACAGTACAGGAGGACTGGTGCATCTAATAGGAAACATAAACTAATAATCATGCTCAAAGGTCTACTAAAGCTTTCAAATAGCTTTAAGTAAAACAGTGAAAAAAGTATTATAGAGCCAAATTTGGTCCAACAGCAGATTGTTCAGGGCTGAAATCAGCTTTTAACATCTTTTGTGGCATAAAGCATAATAGCAGAGTTAAACAAAGCCTAATGAAGCACACCCTCTCCACTCTCCTAAGCAAGACACAGATCTTATTTACCTGCTTCTGTGTCCTGTAGTATTCCTCTACTGCGTATTTCTATCTGGGTTCGCTGAGTCCAAACAGCATGGCAAGTTTCCTTCCAAGGGGTTCACATCAAAAGACAAATCAAGTAATAACTGGAACATCTTCCTTTGACTAAAGGGCTTTCTGCAATAGGCATTTTACATGGTGACAGAAAATTATATAGAGCGATCATACATATGGACATAAAGGATTTGCAGACAAGATGACACAGGGCACAATTCCTTTACTTAGTGAAAATCTTCTTGCTTGAGACACCTCCTTCATAATCCAGCCTTTAAAACTTTTTCCGAAGGTCTGGCCAGCATTTCTGGGATAGCCATACCTCACTTACTCCATTCCCTGCCTAAAAAATTTTTTCCATGCTATGTTTCAATTAAACTAATTCACCTTGGCTTAATTCATTACATGACCTCATTACTACCTCAGCACAATTACCTCTTCTACCTCCTTACATACATCTGCCTTGCTCTGTATAGGGGATAAGAACATCTTTTATGTTTTAGGCAGTTGCTGAAGAAAATGAACTCATTGCAACTGCTTTTGGGCCCCACCTTTTCAGACGCAGCACCACCCTGCCTATGGCAACCTGACAGACATCACCTGCAGTAAATCTTGGCCAACCCAGTCCTGCTGTCAGCTTTCTGAGACAATGTTCTTGGCAGCAGTCATTGCTATAGCCCTTTTTCTTTTTGGCCTCAGTTCCTGCCTCTGGGCCAGTTTCTCCTGCTTCACCCGTCCTTACTCCCTCTCTACATTTGCACCATGCTGTCCCTTTAGTTATGCCTTCTCAGATGCTCCACTGCTTTTCGTAAAACTGCACCAGATTTAGCTCAAAACCAACTTACTTGCCACCTACTAATTAATGTACCGTATCGTAGGTCACACTGGTTGCAATACAGTAATAAAGGTCACTGACACTTAGAAACTTTATTTTCAGTGGCTGATAATCTGTTGTTAGTGCTGAAGTATTTTGTCCCATGTGAGGAAGAAAAAGACTTCCAAATGTTTGAGAACACGGGTAGGAGTAAAATAATGCTTTTTTTTCACTAATCCGTGTTAAGACAATTCTTTGTTTGCCTCGTTGCTGTAAATCACAGAGGAATGACAGCATTTCACAGTCTTGAGATCTGACAGAGTCACTGGTTCAGCTGTTGCTATCCCCCCAAACATTTGCCCAGGATCCAAATACACAAGCTGGAGAGAGGATTCCTGTGTGGAAGGGACGTAAGGCAAGCCACAGAATTAGTTTTCTTTTTTTTCCAGCATGCTTAGACTTTTTGAAAAGACTACTTTAAAGTGAACTTAGTTAAAAGAAAGCTGAGTGGCTGAGCCAGTTCAAAGTTAGTTCAAAGTTAGGACACATTGTATTTTTTCATTAAATCCCCTGCTAATGTTTAATAATGGAAAAGGGATGGTATATACTGTGATCATACAGAATTTTTGCCCTGTGACTCATGTCCCCTTATCAGTTGGAGAGAGGGGACTTTGGAGCACTGCCTTTGGAGTGGGTCAGGATTGCAGGGCAAGGAAAGCTGGTGCCTGCGGGACCCCACCCTCAGTCAGGAGAGCCTGGAAACATGTGAATGAACGTGGCTATTGGAAGACTCACTCAGCTGTCTTTGTAAATACCACACCTTTTATATTTCTGACTTCCTCCATCTTTAATATGATGTTTTGCTGAGTGGAGATCTCTTGTCATACTTGTGATTTCTTCTAAACTTCCATGGCTAATCCTCCTGTACGCTGCTGCACTCCTAATCTGCAGATGCTCAGTGGATGCCGATTGTGTCCCACCATTCAGATGTCGTGTGCCTGGGGCACTGCTGTTATGATTTACAGAGGAGTGGCAGCTCGGTTGGCAGCTGAGCACCCCCCAGCCACTCACTCACTCCCCAACCCTGTGGGATGAGGGAGAGAATTGGAAGGGGAAAAATGCAAAAACTTGTGGGTTGAGATAAAGACGGGGGGGGGGGGGGGGGGGAGAGAGAGAGAAAAAAAACCAATGAAGCAGAAAAAAAAACCTAAACCAAGAAAAACAAGTGATGCAAAACCCCCCAGTTGCTGAGCACCAACCGACCGATGCACAACCAGTCCCTGAGCGAGGACAGCCCTCACGAACCTCCAGCCCCCCCCAGTTTTATTACTGAGCACAGCACAGTACAGTGTGGGACATCCCTTTGGTCAGCTGGGGTCGGCTGTGTCCCCTCCCAACCTCTTGTGCACCCCAGCCTGCTCGCTGGCGGTGCAGTCTGAGGAGAGGAAAAGGTCTTGGTTTACTTTTCCAGCTGCAGAATGCCTCGTTTGCCCCCCCAACCCTTCCCTTCGACCACAAGGGGGCCAGCTGATGGGCTCAGCTTTGGCTAGCGGTGGGTCCATCTTGGGGCCGGCTGGAATGGGGTTCCGTCCAACATGGGGGCAACTTCTGGTGGCTTCTCACAGAAGCCACCCCTGCAGTCTCCCCACTACCAAATCCTTGCCACGTAAACCCAGTACATGGCCTCAGAGAAACCCTACACAGGCACGCACACAGCATCCCACCACTTTCTTCCTGAAGGGCAGATGCCTTGAGGAGGCTGCCAGGCCCTGGGACAGGGCAGCTGCTGGGGCACAGGGCAAGATATTGTCAGAGTTTGTCAGTGCTCCTGCTCCACGGCCTTGGCAGTGACCTTTATGGAAGGGTAGCTGCTCACCTGGTCACAGAGCATGCATGGGCTCCTGGATGTCACCACCCAAGTAATTACAAAGATGTCATTTTCAGCATAACCTTATGTAAAAGATGTAACTTGTTACACCTCTTCCCATTTTAAAGCTGCAATACCACTCCTGGGAGCATACTGTTTGTGTTATGCAGCCATCTAGAGGGCCTACTGCCTGTACCAACTTCATGCTGTTGACCAAAAAACACAGAACTGCAGGAAAATATAAGCTCTGCTGACCCTTAGTGGCCATAACTCCACTACAGTACTATGGGAATTTTTTTATAAATTCAAGAGTGCTCTTGTTCTGGTGCTGCTATGCAGCGCCTTATGTTTTTTGGGGGGGAAGGTATTGACTATTGCTGAGGGCAAAAATTGAGGAAGTACTGTCAACAAAGATGATGATCCAGGTTTCACAGAGGAGAAGGTACCTGACAAGATTTTTACAGCAATTCAACACAGCAAATGCAATCTTACATCAAGGGGCTATCAAAATTGACACTGTAAACTGAAGGTGAGTTTGGGAAGGACAGACAGAAAGACTGGAGGCATGAAGCAAAATTATTAGAGACCACCACGTGGCTCTGACAGACAGATGTGATTCTTGGAGACACCAGGAGGTGCATGTCTGGTTCAGAGAGGGAAGACTTAACATGCTGTGCTTAGTGAGGTTTCATCTAGAATATTAGACACAAGTCTGGCTTTCAAGGATCAGGAAACAGGAATTTGAATATGCAAATAAGGACTCAGGGTGATCAGGGGAACTGAAAGGCTATTTTATGAGAGGAACTGAAAGATTTATGGGAGCCACCACAAAGGTGTCCCAGTAAACATACTGAGAAAGAAGGATCCCTCCTTAGCCAGAGTACTGTGACTTCCCTGATAAGCTCAGCAGAAACCTCTGCGATGGGGAGTCGTTGGCCAGACAGAAGAAATCCAAATGGGTCCAGGACAAAGAGAATGTCATCATGAACCGACCTTCCAGGAAAACAGGAGTCAGCAACAACTATTCTGGGAACTGATGTCTTGCACCCACTTATATATCAACACCAAAAAGCTGTAATAAGCAACTCGCTACCTACTCAAAATAAGCTTCTAAGCAAGAGCTCTTCTCAGCACAAGATGTCCCAGACAGACCGGATCACAGTCAGATTGTGATAAATGCTACAGAAACACAGACCAGAGTGATAGCGTCTCACCCAAATGGTTCATGCTCTCGACACAAGCCAACTGACAGTAAACAGATGCTCCAAACCGCAGAAAAAGACAAGCAGAGCCAACCCTTCCAGGCTGACTCCACTACAAGGACACTATTTCCATAACTCTCAAAAGCACAGGCACATTGCATAAGCTCCTGACACTCCTCAGGTCACCCCAGCAGCAACAGTGGATCTCTGCCAGTCAATCCCACTGAATTACTTTGGTCTTTGCCAGTACACCAGTAGCTCTGCCCTCACTGGAATTCAGTTGCCTTAAGATCTTGTGTGTTGCAGCAGTAACAAAAAGCCAACCTAGCATTTGGCTTCATCTGAACTTCAGAGCTACCATGCGCTTCACAACTGGGCTTATTAAGCAACCAACCAACAGGAGACCACATCTGATATCCTTGTGCTTCTTCAAGCTGTTTCTCTGTTGAAAACTTCTTCACTGAAAGAGCAACCTCTATAAACTGCTTAATCTGTCTTTACTAAAACACAAACTACTAGGCATGTCTGATGTAGGGGAAAGTGGAGCTGCACAAGAGAGAATCTCTTTTTTGCTTTAAAATTATACACCAGCTGCCCATGAGAACTAGGGGAAAACTGTAAGATTTACTATGCTTTAAAAAAACTAATAATTTAAGAAAGAAAGTCTGTGCTATCAGAGGATTTCTTACACCACGCACGCAACAAAAATCGCAAGAATGCCAACTTGCATTGATCTCAGGAAAAAGTACTGTGGTGTAAGATTTGTGATTGAGTTAGGAATCTGACCAAAATCATCAGCCTAGATGGCATGAATCCGCAAGTCACAAAAGCATGAGATGAACAATTTATTTGGGCTTCCCATCAGCTTTGATCTGATCTAAAGTCACAGTTTAGAGAAAAATCGTGGACTTTTCCTACAAGATCCAGCCCAGGGTAACATTTAGCCTTGCACTTTCCAAAGCTGTTGAAAACAAATGAGTATAGGACTTGCCACTCAGATGCCCACCATAATCTCAGTCTTCATTTTCATAAAGCCAAGTCTCTATCTGTTATGGCTTCAACAGAAAATTTCCAAATAGAAACAGAAACAAGCAACGTGTAGACATCTATATATAATCTGAAAATACATTTTTATGGCTTGAACTGTCCACTCACCCACCTTATCCCAATGATGTTAGCTATAAGCATCATTGGTGGTTATTTCACCTCTTACTCAAGTCAAGTGTGCAAGTAAATAAGGAAAGTAATAAAGCATAGAAATCTAGGGGGTTTTCCCCGTCACTTAGAAGGTGGCACTAGGAAAAGTACACAGTGAGATAGGTCTTTCACATGCAAGGAGCTGCTCAGCTTTCTGACGTCTGAAGAAAAGCATTCTAAGTAGCTCATCAGATGTTTTCAAACCAACACGAGGGAAACTGCAGGTCTTCAGGAGTTCCCAACACTAACCAGCAACTTTCTGTGACTTGGAAATCCGTTTCAGAGCTAATCTGTTTCAGCAGAGACTGCTGCTGAAAAGATTACTTTCTTTATGGAAGAAAGGAAAACAAAAATCCAGTCCAGCAGCTACATCCTAAAATCATGAACACTCTCCCAATGTAACGACCTGTTTGTTGGCTCCCTGGTTAAATGGGTGAATTTGATTTCAGACAAAAAAGCCCCTATGAAGTAGAGAAATTTTAGTTTCTGAATTGGGGAGGAAGGTTTGTCTTAAAGTTGATATCCAGGACATTGTCAAATTCCCAATGCTATGCTCACATCAGTCCAGTCTTCACATACCTGTAACATTGTCTGATAGTATCAAAATTAAGAAGATAGTTTTAGACAGCCAAACAATTCTTATTCTCTAAGGACTACATAGAAATTGAAATCCTTTAAATCACTAGAAAGGAGGAAAAATATTATAGAATCACTTTGTAGATACTTTTACTGAAGTCACAATATGCATGAATGGCATGCAATTGTATGCATGAATACAGAATACACCTTTTCTGCAGTTTTTTTTCAAAGTACCTCGCTGAGGGAAGATTTATTTCAGAAGGAAGTAAGACATCACAGTCCAATAGAGGCTATTTTTTTCTTCTAGAAACTTTGCTAAAGCCTGAGAGGCTAAAAGGCATTGGTGTGTATTTACACTCAAAATTGAAAGAGCCAACCATGTCTCCAAAAATGAAAAACCATGTTGCCTACAAATCTACTTACCACCTGCTGGCAATGTAGAGAAGTGGCCAGCAATCTGCACTTCCCAAATAACCCCTTCATGTAGTACATAGAATATCCTACAATGTCACAGACCTTTGCAAGCACTAGGATTTTGTATAGGCAAATGTAATCATACCTTTTTTTTTTTTAACGTAAGTTTGGAAATTCCACTTCCTCTCTTCCTGCCCCATGACTTGAAGTACTCCATTGTAGCTACTACTTCCACATGCACCCAATTCACGTAACTGTCTTGCTCATTTAAGTTCTCCTTTGGGCATACTGCAAGGATAAAATATTCTATATAATTATTAATTTGCTTTAAACTGGAGAAAGTAACATTCAAAATAGACTTTTTCTTGCTACCGTACTTAAGATTTTAAATGATGAAACAAAAACTGATGCATTACAATCATTTATTTTAAATGGTATTCTGAAATTCGTGGTTATATACAAATTATCAAACTATGAAGCTTAAGACTACATGGTGACTGCCTTCACAAAATAAGGCTGCTTGGTCAATCTCATCAGAGCTGATTCCATTGAAGTTTGAGTATTCAGAATACAGGATGGCTTCAAGAAAGTTGTAATCCATGAAGGCACCAACGCCAGAGGAGGTAGGCCTTCCTACATAAAAAGCTGATCAGGGGCCCCCTCAGTTACTGTGTGACATTTGTTGAATTTGAGAGCATCACCAGCAGGGAAAGGTCTGAGCAAATCCAATGGTTGTTGTGGAAATGCTGCACTCAAAATCTGGAGACAGGTACCTACTACAGGGTCTTTTCCATGCCAGGCATAGTCACTTTCAGCATAGATACGAGGCACAGGGATGGGCCGAAACAT